ACACACACTCACACACACACACACACACACACACACACACACAAACAAACACACACAGAGACACAAACACACACACACACAGACGCACACAAACACACACACACACACACACATCGGTTCAGTACTAATTTTTTGATATCTGTGTGTCATTTTGTCCTCTTTTGTCTATAACAGAGAGAAGAAAACGCAGGATTAGTTGTCTTTTGCTATGCTGTCAGTCACAGAATGAAGGAGAAAATGAAAAACATGGAGTTTTTAATTTATTTATTAGGTCTCAGTAAAATAATTCACCTGGAGTAGAGACAGACAGAGCGGGCGAGCGAGCGCTGGGATGAGTTTTATCTCGCCGCTGCATGTGTGAGCTGAGCTGCGAGCCGTCTAACAGCAGAAATCAAGCCTCGCTGCCTTTTCTCCAGATTTCTCACACGTCTTCACTTACTGTCAGTTCATTCCACTGTTTCTCTCGCAGAGAATGAAGGTCTGCTCATCAGAAATCACAGAATATACACAGGATGGAATAAAGATTCAGGGCCGTTTTGTGGAAACCTACATCTGAATTTTAACGATTTCACTGAACTGTTTTACTAAAAGGATCATAATGAATAATGAGAGTGTGTGTGGAGACTGTTCTGCTTTTAAATGATTTGCTTTTGATAAGCACATGGATGATGAGCAAAAACGAAACACGCTTTAAGTCTTTAAATGAAAGTCAGTTTGAGCGACGCTCATCTAGAGCATATTTAAGGCACAACAAAGAGAACATTTCAACTAATATATATATATATTTATATATCTCACCATATTAACCAGCTGATTAATCACAGTCCATTAAGACAATTTTTTGGAGTTTTTCTGAATGTTATGTTAAATATGCAAACAAGACATTATATTATTAAATACGCACTATTTTATATGAGCTAATATTTGAACTTTTCTCAACATTGGATGAATCCAGGTTCATAATTCTTGTTTGATTTTGTCGACATATTAGAGTTAATGTTTTCTACTGAGGGGATTTTGCATTACTCTTTTTATCACTCCATAAATACGAAAATACTGAAAATAACACTTTCTCACCGTGTTTTTTACAAACAAAATGTTGTATAAATCAGTGCAAATGATATATGAACAAACCCCACAGTAAAAACCTCCAGAGTATAGAAAGGAATAAAACTGTAAGGTTTGGTGCATGTAAGTGCTGCTAAAGTGGAGAAAAAACTAATTTTGAGAAAATTGCCTTTATAGATATGTATTGTAATTTAATTCTACAACCAAATAAATGAATTGCAACAATAAAACCAGGCGTATAAAATATGACCAAACCCTTCAGTAAAAATCTTCAGAATATAGAGAGCAATGGACCTTCGGCGATTTCTGGCGGATGATCTGGGAGCAGCGGAGCTCAAACATCGTCATGATGACCAAACTGGAGGAAAGATCCAGGGTACGACACGTTCTGACATCACTACTCACCTGCGATTCGATTGGCTTACGGCCTGTTCCAACCAATCTGTCCACAACAAATCAATCACAAATCACAGCCAATCAGAAGAACGTGTGGGCGGAGTCTCTGCAAGTGCACTGCAGTATGCACGAGTGCATCAATTAATGACAAATAAACCTATTTAACATTAGTTTAAATACATACTCACTACAGTCTCTGTCACATGTTTTTGGCGTTTGGTAAGGAAACACTGTCAGAATGAGTCCAGTTAAATCACAGTTCTAATCTGCAGTACTGATTTAATTATCGTTACACTAACAATAAATAACAGTTATTTCTATAACTGCCACTTGTCATAAATATCATACAGAGTTATTATGTTAGATATGTTTGAAAACTATTATCTCACATAAAATAAACCTAGCATACATTTATCGACTAGATGTGACGATTTAAAATCATATGACAATGCCAACAATGGCATAATGTATAATTGACAACAATACCATAAATGTAGTAAAGAAATATTACATTTTAACTTATGTTAATTATGAAATAACCATTAAACTGTCACACATTTTGTGTGCAATCCTGATTATAAGGGGGAAAAGTTAAAAAAAGGAAATATACGTCTTATAAACCTAAATGCTAAATGTATAGGAAATAAATTAATGTATTAAGTATTTTATAGCATTTACCTATTTGCTGAAATAATTGACAAAATCACACAAATCAAGGTGTGTTTATGTCTTACATTTTAGTAATAGGGTTGGGAAAAAATTGCAAATGTCACAGGAATAGAAAATAAAACAGCTGAAATAAAACTGAGTTTCTCGTCCTGAGGGTTTTCTGACAGTAAAGCAGCTCAGTTTTGCATGGCCCTGTTTGGTGCTCTATTTGTGGAAAGCGCTGGCTTTAACGATCTTATTTTTGACAAATTACATTAAATATGTCAAATGTTTCCGAACAGGTTGAAAAGCTTTTGTCAAACTGATTATTGGTCTAATTAATATCACAATCCATGTCATCCCCAATTTTTACAGATTTCACCCACAATTTAATTTCCATCCTTTCCTTATTTGCACCATTGTGTGTTTCTCAGATTCCCTCTCACTTCTTCTCTAAGGCAAGACTCGTGTTGTTTTCAGCTGCAGAATTTAAATGCATGCCTTGATTTTTCCTGCATTTATGAATCGTCCTTTGCATGAATCCATAGTCTGATGCTTGCTGTAAAGACGCAGGAGCGCTGCTCTTCAGTTGGTGATCCGGCGCTGGAGCGTCTCAACTCGATGCATTTTAATGATCTCAGCGTCCTAATGTTATTAGCAGAATATGATTGTTCAGATCCAGCTCTTGTTTGCATTCAGACAGATCTGCGTGTGGTTTTTCATGTTTAGCATCTCTTTTGTTCGGTGCGCCGCTCACAATGCAGCCCACATCTATAATGGTAATGACGGCCGGCTGTGATGTGATTGCGACAGAGCGCTGGAGATAGTAATTATAGCGTCTGTCACTCGCTGCTGTGTTGAGAAATCCTCTTGTCAGCAGGGAATGGGAAAAGCGCCGCTCCTTCTCCGGCTTTATGTGAGCTCGATGTGTGTTTGTGTGTGTTTCAGGTGAAGTGTGACCAGTACTGGCCCAACAGAGCGACGGAGACGTACGGACTCATTCAGGTCACGCTGCTGGACACGGTGGAGCTGGCCACGTACTGCGTCCGGACGTTTGCACTTTACAAGGTACGGGAGCGTTTCTGACCAGCAAAGCCACATTCACTCGCCCTCACAGCGCTGCCGAGCTCCAGAAACCATCTTCTTCTGTGATGGCACATGAGGGCGAGTAAATGATGGCTAATATTTCTTTCACTCTTGCGTTCAGAGCGGCTCCAGCGAGAAGCGAGAGTTGCGGCAGTTCCAGTTCACGGCGTGGCCGGATCACGGCGTTCCGGAGCATCCCACGCCGTTCCTGGCCTTCCTGCGCAGAGTCAAGTCCTGCAACCCACTGGACGCCGGACCCATGGTGGTGCACTGCAGGTCTGAAGCCCCTGCATTTATATTTATATGATTAATAACACAGCGATGTTCATCTGTGAATCCTGAAAAATAAAATATATCTCGGTCTCCACAAAAATATTGGGCAGCACAACTGTTTTCAACATTGATAATAATCAGAAATGTTTCTCCAGCAAATCAGAATATTAGAATGATTTCTGAAGATCATGTGACACTGAAGACTGGAGTAATGATGCTGAAAATACAGCTGCGCATCACAGAAATAAATTACAGTTTAACAGATATTCACATAGAAAACAATGGTAATAATATTTCACAAGATTTTTGATCAAATAAATGCAGCCTTGGTGAGCAGAAGTGTCTCTTGCTGAGCACAGGTGATGTAATAATGTGTCGTGTGCTTTTCGTTTATCATTAGAACCGATATTAAAGAACTAATCTCATATAATATTTAGAAAACTGAAAAAAAAATTGATTGGTCAAACCATTGATAGATCTCAAGTTTTAACCACACAATTTCATGAGACTCGACGGTGTGTCAAAAAAAAACATGATTTTGGTGCATGGCAGAATGAGGCACTCTTGCATTTATGCAAAACCCAGATATGAAACCATCTGTTAAATTCCCCTCTAAGCGAAAGCGGCACAAAAACATCAGGCAGAGAGAGGCATGCAAAAACGTCAAGCCACGAGCTTCCATCGGAAAACTGCCAGATAGAAAACAAGGATTAGTAAACCCTTAAAAATAACACATACGGCAGTTAATTAGAGCTCCCAGCGGAGCGCTTGAAATTGAAAAATCCTTATTTCCTCTCTTTTCTCTGGCCGGCGTGCGGGAATTAATATCATTCATTGGGACGGAGACTTTGAATTCCTTTCGGCTCAGATCAGATAACGACTCGACAGCGAGACTTTAATCCGCACCAAAACGCCGTCCCGTCTGACCATTAAAAATCTCTTTCTTTCATTCCGCGGTGGCTGTCAGAAAGTTGACGCATCCTTCGGCAGGAGCAGAGCAAGGTTTAAGCCGGCAGCATCACGTGAGGCGGGAGATTATATATGTGCTGTTTGTCAGGCCAAACAAAAGCTCCTCCTTCTGCGCTCGTGGGTGATTAACCGTGCTGCAAACGATTCGCCTGCTGCAGAATGAACATTCAGATTGCATGTGCTTAATGCTAGACGTCATGCGATCGATGCTGATAGTGTGTGTGTGTGTGTGTGAGTGTGTGAGAGAGTGTGTGTGTGTGTGTGTGAGTGTGTGAGAGAGTGTGTGTGTGTGTGTGTGAGTGTGTGAGAGAGTGTGTGTGTGTGTGTGTGAGTGTGTGAGAGAGTGTGTGTGTGTGTGTGTGAGTGTGTGAGAGAGTGTGTGTGTGTGTGTGTGAGTGTGTGAGAGAGTGTGTGTGTGTGTGTGTGTGTGTGAGGCTGTAAAGAGGGTGTTTACCGCTGTCACCTGTAACCCGCGGGTCGCTGCTGAAGTGCATGCAGTCAGCCGTTATAGCAACAAAAGAGAAAGTCCATCCAAGTGCATGATTGAATGTCACAGAGGTCACTGGACAGACAGACGGAGGGTTCCTGAGTGGCAGGGATTTCAGACATGAACCTGTCAAAAACATGTCCACGTCATATTTCAGCCCAAGAGTCCAAACAAAGACTTTGATTTTGCATAAAGCAAATGAAGCCTTGCTAGTAGCAGTGGATATTTCAGGACTGGTTTATTTCACGGTGTTGGGGAAGCTACTCTAAAACTGTAGCTTGACTGACAGCTACAAGCTACTCGCAATTAAAGTAGTTAAGCTACATTCAAGCTACCCTTCTGAAAAAGTAGCTAGCTACATTGAAACTACTTTCAATTTATAATTTTTTTTTCTTTTAGAATTAACATTACAAATAACTGAATTATTGTTAATGAAGAATTATAATGAAGTTATAAGTAAAATATTTGGGGTTTAAAACAACATACTGTAATGCAATCATGATTTCAAAGAGTGGAGTGAATTCAGGTTGATTGGGACACTTTTTCCAAGTCATTTCAGTGACAAAAAGTGTCCCAATCATTTGATTTAGTAAACTATCCGATACACACAATAATATTTATATAGTTATTATATCTCAAACTGACTGTCAAAGTGCAAAATTGCTACAAGAACAAAATGTATGCAACTTAAACTGGATATGGAGCAGTCGTAAAAATAAGCAGGTTAAACTCATGATAAAAGTTGTCACAAAAATGTGACAACATGCTCTGGCGTTTAATAACTTACAGTTCTTCGTGATTCATTTAAAAATATTTCTTTACTGCCAATTTCTACCCAATTAAATATTGTAGATGCTAACAGAAGAAACAAACAATAAATGAATGCCCATGGAGATCTAAGAATTTATTCATTTTTCCTCGACTTTCCCTGGTCTGGAAATCACAATTTTTAAATTATATTTAGTTGATGAACAATGCACAACACAGATAATTAGTAAAACAGTCCCTTTTAGTTAGATTGAACTATACTGATCGTGGAAGCTAAGCAAGGCTTGTCTTGGTTAGTATTTGGATGAGGCTTCCACCACAACTCAAACACAAAGATATGCAGCACAGGTGAATCGGAGACACTACAGATGCTTGCTGCAGTGCATTCTGGGATTGTCTCCTCTGTGAATGATACATGTGAGGTTGCTTTAGAGCAGGGCTGTCCAGACCTACACTAACACTAATGAAACACACCTGAACCAGCTTATCAAGACTTCAGACTCACTAGAAACTTTCGGCCTTAAAGAGCCGAAATAAAGTGGTGGAATACTTTTGCTGACTTTATGAACGGTCTTCGTGTCAGGTGCTCCACAACATGGGTTTTGGAGACTTTAAATGCGTGTTAGTGGAAGTTCTGTGTGCGGTAGAGCTGGTGTTCATTGACTCAAGAGCGTCGTTGATTAAGAATTCTCTCTCGCTCACGTCTTCGTGCAGGAAGAGCGCTAATGTGAGCGTTTGTGGTCGTAATGAAGGGCTCTGATCTCAGGTGTTTCATGGAGAAGTGCCTGTGGTTGACGTCAATGGCTGCGCTTCAGGAAGTTAGCAAAGCTTTGGCCTCTTCAAAGTGATGGAAAGAGGAAAGTAGATGGAGGCTTTTAGGGTCTGTAGTTGGAGGTTAGAGAGGGTGAGAGGCTAAATGGAGGGGTTGTTTTGCTCTGATAGCGAGCACAGGTGTACGCCGATCTCTGCCATTAAATACTGTTTGACTGTGGAAAACATTCTGCATTCACCACAGAAATGTGACACATCACTTACTGTCAGCCGTGTCCCATTGTTTTAGCAGTTTGCATGTGTGTGTGAACAATGAAAATGTATCTGAACACAAACTAAACAAAACAGTAGGGATGCACCGAATGTTCAGCAACCGAAATTAAATTAAAAGACAGAATAAATTGTACTGAACAATGATGTGACGCGATCAAATATCAACCAGCATAGAGTGAGAGCGAGCTCGCGGCGCTATCTGCTCGTTAGCAAGGGTTAGCCAAGTCCAAAGGAGGAAAATCTGCGCTGAAACAGCGTTACTCATCAGCTGCTCAGAAACATCTTTACCAATTTTTACTAGGAATGTGACAGTGTGATACGTGCGACAAACATATTCCCAAATTCATAATGAGAATCATTTATAAATCTGCTGTTGACAACAAAAAGAGTCACTGAGATCTTCCTGCTGGTTTCCGCCAAAATAAAAGCTGAGAAAGAGTAAGAACTCCATCAGCATTCATAAATGTTAGTATTATAATTTTACTGTTGTTCTATAAAATAATAAATAAGACAATAATAATGATATTACTAATTACAACAGCTCCATTAATACATGTATTATAACATTCACACATAGTGTTCAATTTGGGATCTGTGATATTTTCTAATGTTTTAAAAGAAGCCTATTCTGCTCAGCGAGGCTGCATTTATTTGTACAGTTAAAAATACACGCCTGATTCAAGAAGGGGGTCTCAAAAGTGGCCAATAAATATTATTTTACTAACTTAAATTGTGTTTTGTTAGTAGTGTTAAATAAATATTTTTAAACTGTTGTTTTGCAATTGATTTAAAAAGCACATATTGGCCATTTAATCTATGCAATGGTGAAAAAAATAAAAATAGGTAAAACACATGGGGAAAAAACGTGAAAAACCATGTTCGGTATTCGGCCTTCATCCCAGTGTTTAATTCAGTTCGGTTTGGCTTCAACCAAGAATGTTCACTTCGGAGCATGCCTACACATCAGATCTAACATTGTCAAACATCTGTCCTGTTGTCTAACAGTGCCGGCGTGGGTCGGACCGGCTGCTTCATCGTCATCGACGCCATGCTGGAGCGAATCAAACACGAGAAGACGGTGGACATCTACGGTCACGTGACGCTCATGCGTGCACAGAGGAACTACATGGTCCAGACGGAAGACCAGTATGTCTTCATTCACGACGCGCTCCAGGAGGCCGTCACCTGCGGCACCACCGAGGTTCCCGCCAGGAACCTGTACGCATACATCCAGAAACTCACGCAGATCGAGTCCGGAGAGAACGTCACCGGGATGGAGCTGGAGTTTAAGGTAAGACGGATTAGCGGGAGTCAGGTTTGTTGACGTCTGTTTGTCACCGTAATTCTAAAACCAAAGAAACCAGCTAGCTAATTCATGATAAATGCCATGATTTAAAAAAATATTGTATTCGAATATTTGTGCTCATAAAAAACGAATATTTGAATATTTGTTTATTTAAATAAAGTTTAGCGAGAAAGATGTAATTTTTTTTAATAATCAATTTTGTCACCATTTCTGAACAAGCTTATAATTACACATACTATACAACAATGTTCTACAACAATGTTACGTTATATCTCAAAGTTTTCTTTTGGTTGAAAACGTGTGTAAAATATACATATAAAGAACAAAAGCAATCAAGCTCAAGAAGAGCAAATAGAAAAAATAAAGGAGACCGTGCCGATAGCAGTTTAGAACGTGCATACACTCGAGTCGGCCTACGTTTATCGCATTTATATTGTTTCACATGTTAATGTTGAGAAAAAAAAATAATATCCACATGCTCGGGTGAAAGCTGGCTCCTTAGTCTGATAACAATAAGAACGTGCAAAGACACAAAGATAACGGACGGTGTTCTAAGCAAAGTTTCTTACAGCGCTTTGTGTTTTCTGTTCTTAAACCACTCAACTTCAAAGAAACATAAAGGAAGCATATGTCTAACTAACTCCAAACTTCACGAGGCAGACGACGACATTCTGTGATCAAATGCAATCCATGTGTTAACACGCTCCACAGCGCCACCCAGTGCGTTTAGTTATAACTGGCTTTTAATTTGCGCACTTAGGATCTATCATGGATTTCCTGCATTTACAGCCTGCGAAGCAGCACGTAGTAAAATTCTAATAGTGTTTTTATTTGTCGAATAATAATTACAGATGGAATATTCAAATGTTTGACTATTTGCGCACACTGCTAATTCATGAACAAATAGACTGAGTGAATCTGAGACTGAGTGAAGAGTCCCGAGAGCCCTAACCCTACTAAAGAGCCACTTGACCAAACCTTGACCTCGTGTTTATTGATACGTCTGATCTTGGCAGCTAAGCAGGGTTTGGCTTGGCTAGTACTTGGATGAGGCTTGGGTTTCCCCCACAATCCGGTCAATTCTCAGAAAAAGAGTCACCCTTCCCATCACTACCAGCAAAGAGAGGTTGTTCAGATGGTGTAGTGTCTTATCTAGTTGAGTTTATCTGTCTTGTGTCCCATCCGCTGACTCGTCTGATTACGGGAACTCTTGATCAGACTCCATCTGAACAGAAGGGGCCTCGAAGCGCCGCAATCATGTCATGTTTACTCTGGAATGACTGCAGCAGAACCGCCGGCTTGGCCTCAGGAAGCTGCTCGTCTCTCTTCTGTTATTCCATCCCACCGCGTTTTACTCGGCCTGCAGTTTGTCAAGCAGAAATCTGTTTACCGAGAGTAAGAAGGTGATCGAATGTCACGCCGCATGACGAGCTCTGGGCGGGCGGATCAGTCAACTCTGGCCCACCGCAGGCTCTCTTTACTCGGCCGCAGAGACAGTGTGGGGCCTGTGGTTTCTCCTGCAGGAACCCAGAGACCCCTGTGCCGTTCTCACGCTAGCGCTAACCATAACTGTGCTCGCTTTTTTCAACGTAAACCACGTGTGCTTCGCTCTCTTGTTTTCATGACCAAGTTCAAGACGGTTAAAGACATTAAACATCCAAACCCAGTGAAACACTATCTATCTGTCTATCTATCTATCTATCCATCCATCCATCCATCC